TAATTCATATATTTTTTAGTTAATTTGCTTTTGAAGGAGTCGATGTCATCACTAAATACATCCATCTAAATCAGGGCTGCTAGCCTATGATAGAGATATCACATGACGGAACACCCGGTGGAAGGTACGGGAGTGGAGAGAGTGATGTGTGACTTGGTTGGCACAGACCTGCTGCACCTGTCGCAGGCGGGGTCGGCGGGCGGCGGCGCGGGCGCCGAGGTGCTGGAGCGCACGCACCACGAGCTGCGCCTCGACAAGAGCAACGTGCTGCTGCTCGGCCCCACCGGATGCGGTCAGTATCTCGTTTACCTACCTGTAATACTGCGGTTCATTTAGTCGAATTCAAAAGTGCACTTCAAAAACCATTAACATTAGGTTGATTTTTAGCATTAACATATTCCGATTTGTTGATCGCTCAGATCATTTTGATGCTGGTCATACGGAATTGCAAATGGTGTGGTTCCTAATCGATATTACTTATAACAATAATAATCATCATTTATTACAGGCAATTTGACCCTTATTTCCCACCCCTCGTGGGAGAATGGCATAAGTGGAGTTACATCAAACATGTTTATTGCTCCGTTAGATACAGAAAAATATAACCCACATCCTCCAATTTTTATCTACAGTATTAGTCGACAGAATTACAAATACAAATATGCAAATTTTCTGTATCTAATAGAGCAATAAACGTTTTTGACGTAACTCCACTTATGCCATTCTTCCATGAGGTGTGCGTGTTAATTACAGTAATTACAATAAACTGGTGAAAACATTTTGTAAATGAAAGATAAAAATGAAAGATTAATTCAAAATTCATTACCATAAATTTAAATTGAAATAATAATAAAAATAAAAATTTCTAAAATTAAATATTAAAAAACTAAAATTCAATGTATCAATAAAGAAAAATTTGTTGTAATACTTCGTAATGTTACAAGATTTACTTTTTAATTTCTTCTTTTAAAAGAAGCGTCGGCTGTCAGCGATTTCACCGCTTCTTTTTAATCTAATATGAAAACAAATGAACTGACGCGCCGGCGCGCCAGACCGTGCACAATCCAAGTCTGCTATTTGCCAGATAACATCTTCAGACTATCGCCGACCGATGAAAGTGGACAATTGAGATCCCATTTCTAGAGTCCCTTAGGGGAATATGCCTTACGAATGCGCAGTGGTGTTAAGTCAATGTCACGATTCAATTTAATTTGCTTATATGTGAAATAAAAATATATTTTAATTTCTTAAGGTAAAACCGTATATCGAAATATGAATCTTATCATTAAGGTGTATAACATACAAGCCTGTTTCTAAACCGACTTCAAAGAAAGGAGAAGGATTTTTTGTGTGATTATTTTTTGTTAGATAGAGGGTCTTATTTAAATTTGAAGAAAATATGCTGCCTGTAAGGTTGGTTTTTTGTTAAAAAAAAAGAAATTATTCATACAAAAGTTTTTGCATGAATGTGTTCAGACGGTACGTGTTTTCTATTTACGCGAGTATTAAAGTGCTAGACCGAATGTCGAAATGCCTACCGAATCACCTTTTTTTCTTTTTTTTACATTTCTGCACATTTGCGCCGCCTAATTTTATAATTGCAAATTTTTTCCATACTTTTTGAACTTACTCACAACCCATTGTTTTTTATTCTAATTTCAAATTCCATGCATATCGGTTAATTGGGTGAAGAACGGTCGAGTAGTTCTATTAGATTGTGCAATTTGTGTAGTTGCCAAGAAAGCTACACGCGTTAAGCGTGGACAATGCATATAAGACCAATAAATTTTTTTCGGAGCTAAATGATTTTTATTCAAAATCAACTTGTATTACAAAAAATAAGTTTTTTTTAGTAAAATACTAACAACCTCCCTGGACTGTATTACTAATATCACTAAATCGATTTATTAGCCTGTCTTGATTAAGTTTTATAAATTTTAACAGAACACATGAACTAACTGCCCCTTAAAAACCAACGATATTATAATATAATCTAATAATGAAATAGTTATTTTTTTACGATATGTGTTCTCATTTGTAATAAAAATTAATATACCTATATTTGTATATATATGTTAGATTATATAGATAACATATATACGTATATATGTTAGTCAACTAACACAAAAATAATTATTTCATCTTTAAGTATCCTAAAAGAACCAATAGTCTTATTTCAAAATCAAAATTAACTTCATTTCGTAGGCAACCAAATAAAATTTTTTAACATTTTAAAAAATAATTTTTAAAACCAAACTGTCTTATCGTTTATGTAATCCCTAACAGAGTAATATCCTCTCTTTAGTAAGGTTGCCTTTACATGATTTCTGAACTTATCAAAGAATTGGTCCAAAACACCTTTTGGAATCTTATTACAATACTTAGTACCTTTTGCCCCACAAAAGAACCATGAACCCTCTGAACTTCGGTAACTCAGCTTCCATTTATGTCTAGCATAAAAATTCTACTATAAAAACATAATATTTATCGCGGTACACCACGAGATGTTAATTATGCGTATATTTTATTATCACAAAATATGTATTTCATCTTTAAATACCTTAAAAAACAATACTCTTGTTTTACTATAAAGACATTATATTTTTCGCGGTGCCATACAAAGTGCTGTGCCACCACTGTGCGTCGTCCCGTCGTGCCGTGCACGGCACTGATATGTGTGGTTAGACCTTACTGCGTCCAGCTAAAGACAACAATGTTTGTGGTTTTCCCCAAACAATGCCCTCTACTGACATACTTAAACGGAACTTGTAAATATAGCTACACTGTCTGTTCAAATGAAAACCTTGATATTTGTTGGATAAAAGCCAAAATCAATGATTGGATTCCAATACTGATAAAGTCGCCATAAATTATATATATACATACATATGTATACACGTACTATCACATTTATCAACATTAAATATTTTTATGTGAAAAATGTCAGTAGAGAGAAAGCGCATGTCAAAATAAAATCATTCAAAGGCAATATTTCACCACGGTAGTGTTTACGCTTCTGCTGATAAAATCTGCCAAGAGCGAGTTGCTCGCAAAGTTACAAGGATCTGCATGTGTTAAAGTTATTGGTTATTATTTACCATTTGCCAATTATCAAAGCATAGCAGGCCAGAGTGATCCACTAGGTGTGATACCCTCTTCGTTCGCATCAATATAAGAAAAGAAAAGAAGTATTTTGTGTGAAACCTCTTAAGTATGTTTGTTAAATCACGAATCTCGGGTTTCGCAACAATAAACAGTATCCAACTTCGTAATAGGGTATATGTGTCAGTTTGCTGGTGATGAAGAGTACCTTGTAACCGATTTTAAGTCACATGTACAGTCAAGAGCACATCAAACTTGACACTTCGTACTTTGGACCGTTCTTATCGTAAGTGGCTACGATAAGAACGGTCCAAAGCACAAAGTCTAACTCTATAGTTGGATTTAAGTCTCAAGTGTCAAGCTAGACGTGCTCTTGACCCTGTACCTACTCTTAGAGCATATTATATTAGTTACAGGTTTATTTGATGCAAGAATTAATCCTTAACACCATGACATAAGATTGGCACAAATAGATATTTTTTAGAGCGTAATATATACCTATTCACTCGGGCTTTGAAAAGCTCTAAATAGTCCGTTAGGGAAAACGCAATTACCGGCTGTGTATGCCATTCTTTTGCCATATATTTCGAATGTTTGGAAAAAACATTATTCGAAGAAAAGTTGCTACATACTCGATCCAGAAAGACGTGCAATAGGAGGTGACCTAGACTACCGTCTAGGTACCGTGTAGGCTACCGCGTTTCAATGTAAACTCATAGGTTTATTAACATTTGTGTAATAAGCATTTTTCCTTGTTTTATACAATCCCATACAAGGCAATCTACATAAAACTTTATTACCCCCAAACACCTTCCAGCAAAAGAGCATCCCCAAAAAGAAGATGCCTTACCCAACTCCAAGCCGTATATCATCCATATAAGGTTCGCAAGTAATCCTCGGTTGCATAATGGCTTTATTACCGTGAAATGAAGCTACTTATTTACATTTTTAAATATTTTATGCTTGATGTCAATTTTGTGCTTGTTTTGTGACATGTAATGGGAATAAGGCGTGGTCTTAATGATCTTTATAGTGGCTTTAACTATATAGCTGTTTAAAGGGGGACCACTGGTGATATTCACCTTTTATTAAACTGCTCGCGATTTCGTTCTATACGCACTTTTTTATATTTCTGTTAGAAATTAATATAAAAGATAATGTACTGTATCAAGGCATACAAATACGTCTCGCTTGGGTCTCCTCTAGTTTTCGACCGTATTCCACCACGCTAGTTTAATTCAGGTTAAACTTACAACTTCAAGTGACATGTGGACCGACCATTTAGCTTGAGTAAAGAGCGTTTCACTCTGTACGTAATATAATAGATCAGGCAAATAATAAATGAAATTAAGAGGTGACGTTTGAGAGTTGAAGTTTTTAGAGCTGTAGTGATGGAAAATCGAATAATGATGTAAAAACAATCGATTTAAGTATCTTATCGAGATAATTTATAATGAAGTGAGAATCGATTTATAGACTGTAGTTTAGAACAACAAAAAGGATTTTATTATTATGTTACTAAAAAACTAACTAAACTATTCGCAAATTCAATTAAAAAAAACAATAATAAACAAACGAAGTTTTTTAAATTTTTATTGAATTGATATTCGATTATTTTTTGTGAAATTACTCCACTAGTTTGTTATAGTTATTAATATAAAGATTGAACACCCAGATCAGGATCGAAGGAATTTTTTCTGAGTGTTCGATCTTTGTATTAATAAATAATCGTAACAAACTAGTGGAGTAATTTCACAGAAAATAATCGAAATCCAATCCACTAAAAATTTAAAATACAGTGAATAGCGACATCTCTCGCCAGGACTGGTAGCTGTAAAGGTACTAACTGTGTGATAAATCTTTCATAGATTTCTCATAGATGGCGCTACGACTAAAAAGTCGTTGAAAAACTAAATACAAAGACACGACGCAAGCGTGAGGTCCGTTGGCTCGTTCCGTGGCTTAGTTGGTATAGCGTCTGTCACGGTATGCAAGACGTCGGTTCGAATCCGACCGGATCGAAGGAATTTTTTCTGAGTGTTCGATCTTTGTATTAATAATTAAAACGAAAAGTCAACAACAAAGCATAAAATCAACAGCAAATTTGAACAGTGACTCCCAAAAACATCATGCAAAACAAAAGAAAACGACCCGCTAACAAGGTCATTGTAATACAATTTGCACACGTATTAATACAAGATACGCAATAAGTGATTCGATTTATCGATTCCATGGTGTAAATCTCTATGATTAAATATTCCGTTTTACGAATGAAGTAGTTGTGGTAATTTATTTTTATCTTTATCAGTTAATTTTCAAAATTACAACTGCAACATATACTTTTTGTTTTTGATACATTGTAACAAATTTACTATTTTTTTTTTGTAAGCTGCTTAGAAGATTAGTTAAAAATACTACGCATGCAACGTAATAATTTGAAATGTTACAGTACCCATCCTATTTGAAATGGACTATAGTACCAAAAACAAAACTATTTTTATTTCGTAGGTAAACAAATTACACTTGATTAACATTGATTAATCACTTATTCATACGTTAGGCATTTCATTCAGACGTTTGTTTCAAATTTATTGTTTACAATACTTCTTTAGAGCTAAACGGGTCACTACCGTGGACTTTTTTGTCACCTAAGTATGCAGAGGTTGTATGAAAACATTTATTATAAAGTTTTTTGTATCATTATGGTTTTAAGCTTCGTAAATGGCAAACTTTGTATGTGTGATTTTGTTTTTAATTATTATTAAAGAGGCGTTGCCCCATAAAGTAGACATTTTTTAAATATTTCTCATTACACTTGATAAAAATAAAATCTTTAATTGATCGAACATCGAACCGGGACGAGCTCGAAATGCCACCCTGAACAAATGACGCCGGCCAGCTTGGCATCGTAAGTCAACATAATTACTCCGACAGAGGTTGTATATTATTTTTCTGACTTATTTACGACCTATTCCCATCGACAGGGGATATTTTTTTCTGCAACAGACGCGTGCGCTTTAAAAGGTAATCTTTATTTCGTTATACAGCTCAAAATTGGACCAATTATTTCGATTTTATGGTAATTTCATTGTTAAAAAACCAATTCACGCGCCATATTCGTCGTTTACCTTGTAACATCAAGGTTTTAAGTGTTTTTATCATAAATTGATTCGCAAACTGTATCTACTAATATTGCAACATGGAAACCCTGATTTAGATGAGAAAAAAATTTGGACAATAAAAACTGACGCACGACAGTTTGAGGTTTATCGCCATCATCATCAACACTTTATATATCCTAGTGCTGGGCACAGATATCTAAGGAAATAGTTTACGTTTTACATTCCAATGGATGTGAACCTTTGACGTATAGGTTTCATCACGATTTTTTCTTCACCGTTAGCGAGAGGTAAGTATTGTTACGTAACGTTAAAGTCACAGATTCATGGCTCTTCGGGGATTCGACCATGCTCTAATTAGAGAATTGACATCTCCCACTAAGCTATCACAGCAACAGTGTACACTTAAAGCAAAGATCGTGTATTTGTGTATCGTGTATTTATCGTGTAGCAAAAGACCATCGATGAGGAAAAAGCGAAACAATACCGTGATGTGAATCAGGTATAACATTGGGACAAAATTTGTATGCTAAGTAAAGGCTTAAGGCTTATGCCTCTGTCAAGAGAAGCGCGACGGCGGAAACCATTTAACCTAACTTAAAACGCCGAAATCACATAACGAATTAGTCGCGTTAAACCGTTATTTAAGAAATCTGCTAATGGCGTATTGGTAGTTATTAATAATCCCTCGGACGTTCGATTTAAACAAACGTAGCTGTTTGAACGACAAACTTTGCCACACTTTGTGACAAATCATAATCATGTGTTACATTTGTCTTCAATTCTAGTTATAACAAACATTCATTGACGACAATTCGGACGCACAAACTAAACTGAATTTAAGGTTACATTTTTATTTAGAACGGACAAAGGTTTATTATAGCTCCGTCCTTTGGTCGTAAACTAATTGGATAGCTCCATATTGAAATCACGTTTTGTGTCCTTTACTTATTGTTAACAAAAATTACTGAAGCTGCCATTATCTAGGTGCACAAAAGTGCAGCTCTTTATACAAAGTAAATTAAAAATGAATTAAGTAAGTAGTAAAGTGCCAGAAAGTGCTCATTGCAACGAAACCTGTAGGGCTAGAACAATAGGGATAGATAGTTAGAGATAGAGGAATAGATAGAGATATTGCTATTCACTCTCGCGCAAGTCGCGCCCTATCGTGCTAGGCCTACTGGACAGATGGAAGCGGTAAAAGAAATCAAAGTTAAAGGAATATACGACTCATTTTCACTCAAAGTGAGGCTTTAGACCTTTTACCAAAATAACGCTCTCGCTACCGCTTAAGTACTAAGCTCTCAATTACTTATAACGACATGACTCGATGCGGGTTAACCCAAGAGTAACACTTTCGTATGAGCAGCGTGTATCGTTGCGGACGTAGACAAAGATTTATGTTGTGTTATTTACGTTTATCTGATCACTCGATAACTGCACTTTAATGAAGTTTTAAATAAAAATGGCTATAAATAACTTTTTGTTTGTATTCGAATCAGATTCGTTTATTTCCTGTTAATTTATTTATTCAAGTTACCTCGAAGACTTTTCCAAATTAATGGCTATTGTGACCACCTTATTATCGCATGTAATATGTACCATGTCTTCTTGTTTCTATTTAAAACGTAGGCTCTTTTCTATAATGTAATCGCCAACCACCTCTGTTCAGTGTCCTGATTTTTGTTTTGTGAACTTGCTGATGTTCGGTTTTGAAAGCTGAGTAAGATGCGTACGCGTACCATCGTCGGTCACATCGTCGTTTAACATCAGGTGAGGTTTTTTTATGATACTGGCTGATGGCCAAACGTGAGTCTAGTTCTATATTAAAAATAAAAAACCTTACTTTGTTGCAACCAAAATGTCAAACGATATGTGTTATTTACAACGTTTTTCTGTAAAGTTATTTATCGGTTGGTAAACTTGTCTCAACTTAACCAGGAGCTTAGTGTATGTTGAGGGTCCTATAATAAAAGTTCTTTCTTAATGATTTCTTGATCTTCGCACTATTAATCCTTGAAATGGTGGACTGTATACATCATGAAACTTTTCAAATACACTTAACTCTTGTCTGACTGAATTATAAGACTTATTAAGGATCTTGCTAGATCTCCCATATATTATTATTATATATAGCGGCATGGCGTCTCCGACTCCGTACCTCTCTAAACAATGCGGCCGCGCCCGGCCAATCATAGCTCACGAAACTACCTCGTGAAGCTCAGTAGTCCTCAATCGATACTTTGACCGACCAAGTGCGCTTCCGCTAACTAGAATATTTCAATGCAGTACTAACAATTTTCAAAGATCAAACCGGTGCTTATGAATCGGTTGCATAACTCTTAGATTGTATTGCTCTCAAAGAACTCTCGTCAATTCCAGGTAAAACCCTCCTAGCGCAAACGATAGCACAATGCCTGGACGTGCCGTTTGCGATTTGCGACTGCACCACACTCACGCAGGCCGGCTACGTAGGAGAGGACATCGAAAGTGTCATTGCGAAGCTGCTACAGGACGCCAACTTCAAGTAAGTACCCTAAGTGCAATAAACACGAGACAGGGGCATGTTTGACAACTATATATATATATACTTCCCGATGAAATGAGATACTTATTATAGCGTTGTTGTATCTCAACCATATCTGTTAGATTCCATTTTCTTGAAAGCTATGCCAAAGAGAAATATTTAGGGGGGAAAATGCCGAACTACTGCCGAATTTCCTGTACTATGAATACCAAAATAACGATAATTCCAGAATACTCAGACCAAAACCAACTTAGAAATGTTCGTTTCTTAAATTGGCCCAAATCGGAAATCGACCTCCTCATCAAGCGCCCATAATACTAACTGCTGTGCCACCGAAGAGCATGAGCACACCCCGTAAACTGAACCCGACCACGCGCCGCAGGCCGAGCCCGACCCCACCGTAGGCGAGGTACAGGGCTCGTATTCGTATAAAATCGGTACTGAGTAATATTAATAGCGGTAACTTAACTGCAGGACTATTCTTTGCTATGTCGGAGGCTTTTGACCATATCTCGTATAACTAATATTATACGCAAGCGAAACAACAACAGGCCATACAAAACAGTAGTTGCAATTGACAAATTACAACCATGGTTAAAACTGTCAGCGTCCACATTTGTCGCATAACGATTCTAGCAATAGTTCAGAAAGCGTAAACTAATCTAAATAACGTTCACTTAATTTTTTTTTTCTCTTTTAATTGATTTGTATTGATATGATATTTGTTACATGATGTACACTTTTTTTTACCTTATTATATTAAATTTTATTGAATTATATCTGGATGTCGATTAAATATTCGAATCATTATAAAAATCTAACTATAGGCTAATCATACTGTATTATTTATATGCGTGTATATAAACGTCACTTGGGAAATCGTGATATTCCAGGTCCATAACCAACTCCATGGTCAGAAATATGTTGAGTTCTGCATACTGATGGAAGCGATCTGAGCTCCAATGGTAACGCAAATAGCAACCCTATGGGCCCGTGAATGGTGGCAATTCGCGGTCCGAATGGATATATCTGACTATGGCCGTGAACGTTCTGTTTATTTCTCACGAATTCAACAACGACCTGTCAATATCACGACGTCCAAAGTAGCAACCATGCCAAAGAAGTACAGATGGAAGCGATCTGTTGTCGATGTTGAACGGTAAACGCAGGTAGCGGCCGTTCGGGCCGGTGGATAGGTAATCCACGGCCCAAGTTAGACATCATTGAGTTAGTTGTTGTTCATCGTAAAACGATACGTACACGAGGTCGTGTAGTATCCAGGATGGCCGAACTGTAGAATAGTTTTATTGTAGATCGTTAAAATAATTATTCACACTTATAATTTTAAGTATTTGAATATAAAGAGTATTCATTTTTACTTAATTTTCTCGTCAGCCAATCGGCGGCCGTTTCCGCCACATCCCACCTTGCTACTAAAAAGTAGGGTTGAGTGGAGGGACAGGGTGGCGGAATCGGCCGGTGCTCAGTCGAGTGGTGTGTAGGAGTCCGAAAGGCTAAAGACGAGTAAATTACGTACATAAAGTGGATGTATTACATTGTTAAGGAACATATTGTGATCAGTTACGGAAAATAGAGTAATATTTTCTATCAACTTGGTATTATTTCACGTCCACGGAGAGCACTGCAACAATTGGTTCTACAAAGTGATGGATATGATAATTACTATTAAAGAAAATAAAATCTTGAACATTCATAGTATAGAGACTTTCCTAGTTTGACAGTGTTGAGGCGTGTAGAAATTTCAATTTTCAAAAAAAAAATTCTGTGATATTTTTCCTTCAATTTTCCACATTTGAAGTTGACACCTGTCAAAAGTTAAAGTTACTGAACGAAAATGACGGAGTCATTAAATAGCAGATTGTACAACAAGTGGATACTTAAGTCGAAGGTAAAATGGGTTTTACGAACGAGTATATGCACTCTACTTTTCACGTCGATTGCGAGGAAATTAAATAGCAATATTACAAATAAACGATTATTTAATTAAAATTGAATGTAAAATTACACCAATTAGACATATTTAATGTGATGGTTTTTTATTTTGCGTGCTGCATATAATCCTACTTTATGCAGCCTACACCCAGCATAAATACAAACTTTAAGAGCATGAGAAGTGGAAAAGTTTTTTTTGCTGTACGTGGCTTACAGCTATACCGGTTTATTTTATAATACACGCTAAATAAAACTTTAGTAGATATTTCTAAACGCAGAATATAATTGAACCTGCGAAATTATATTTTTGTGTGACCTTTTTTTTATTCCAGTTGTCGTCATACATCAAACTTTGAACTCGATACAGTTGAATATGTATTAGTCCTTGTCAATTGTACAAGTACAATAAAAGTTACTTTTACACATGTAGTTTTTATATTGGAAATATGATTTGTTGTGTTGCAGTGTTGAGCGTGCACAAACGGGCATAGTGTTCTTGGACGAGGTAGACAAGATCGGTGCCGTGCCCGGTATTCACCAACTTAGGGATGTCGGAGGTAAGTCCTTTTGCACTATTGCCAGATTCAATTTAGAGTTTACTACAAGCCGTGTTATGGTACATTGGTAACTTAATAAATTACAATTAGACGGTTATTCCTTTTACCCCGTCGATATTATATTTTCAAAAAAAAAGTTTCATCATCTGCTGGAACACTGTCACTCGTGTTGCCAGTATATTGTTTTTTTTTAGTTATTTATTCTACTAAAGTTAGTTTCGTGAAAGCGTTGTTCGCTCAGGAGCAGCTAGTGGTTGCAGTCGGTAAATAGCTTATCGACCATCGACTGAGTAAATAAATAATCGGACTTGCTACCTTAGTAAGTTTGTGGAAGGAAACTCAGTTCAGGTTTACTCCTGCGTATCGAACGTCGCCTGTTCCGCGAAAGCTGCACTGGGCCCAGTGAGTTTCGCGGGGTCGGCGACCGGTCTCGAGCCCGCTGACGGTTCCCAGGCGAGGGCGTGCAGCAGGGCATGCTGAAGATGCTGGAGGGCGCCGTGGTGTCGGTGCCCGAGCGCAACAGCCGCAAGCTGCGCGGCGACGCCGTGCAGGTGGACACCACCAACATCCTGTTCGTGGCCAGCGGCGCCTACAACGGCCTGGACCGCCTGGTGCAGCGCCGCAACAACGAGAAGTACCTGGGCTTCGGCGCCTGGGACTCGCGCTCGGGCCGGCGCGCCGCCACCGCCGCGGCCGCCGCCGACGCGTCGCCGCTGACGTCGGCCACGGCCGAGAACGACGAGCGCGACGCCTGGCTGCGCAAGGTGCAGGCGCGCGACCTCATCGACTTCGGCATGATCCCCGAGTTCGTGGGCCGCTTCCCCGTGCTGGTGCCCTTCCACTCGCTCAACCAGGAGCTGCTGGTGCGGATCCTCACCGAGCCCAAGAACGCCATGGTGGGTGGGCGCGAGGCCGCGGCGACCCCGCTCGAACGGGCGTAGCCTTCGCTCGTGCTCTTTTTCTGCTTGCGGACAAAATGGTCAACTGCTAGTACCGTGCTTGACCTTTGATAGATTGAGCGAATAGTTACGAAAATTAGTTGTCCTAATTAATCGGGCCGCACTAACACTGATTTTCATTTCACTTAAACAGTCAATAAAGACTTCAAAATGGTCCAAATTGTAATTCCCTGTCGTTCTGTTTTGTTGGTAAGTGACCACCAAAGTGACACAAATACACACATGTATTAAAAAAGTCATTTCCTGAGGCTCTAGCGACAAAAAATACTCGTTTCTCTGGCATTTTATAAACAATAAAACGTAATTATAATAAGACATTTTATAAATTATATTATTTGGTACTGAAAAATATGTGAGATTGTACGAGTACGAACAAAATTAATTTTTTAAGAAATTTAATAAAATAGATCGCAAAATTAGGTTTTGGTGCCACAATTTCTTTATACAATTTTATATTACAATAATAACGCATAGAAACCTAGCCCGCACACGCTAAGTGAGGCAAATTGTAGGACGCCCTATGGGCTTACACGAGCGAGCGGGCTGTCAGTGCTCAAGGTCAACTTGCACCGCGAGCAGCTCAAAAATTTTTGCTAAAAATGACGAAATGTGCGGTAATTGGGTTTAAAAATAGATCAAACAAATATAAAATAGACACTAACATCACATTCCACAAGGAAGTAACGCGTTTCAATTTGTATTTTTATATAAATATTCATTAAAACAGAATATTAATTTCGTTGCAACAAGATACGAAAATGTTGCAAAGTAACGGGATTTTTCTCCCCATTTTACTATTCTGTTTCAAAATAATTATATTACGTAATTTTTTGAGAATAGGCAATATCGCGACGGTTGCAAAATTTCTACAAATGTACACCGCCGCAACAACATTGTAGAGAATTTACGTTAGCTATTTTTACGAAATATATTTAGTATTTGCCTTCATTAGTTTCATGTGAAAAATCATTATTCTTGTTCATCATACACTCATTTAAAAGAATTGTCTTGCCCAGACTTAAAAGTTCTTAACTAAAATTATTTCAGGAAACTAACTCTGACTAAAAAGTCATCGTCAGTTCTCCAAAATCGTGTATAAATAACTTTCAGGTTCAGGTTCTTAATTGTTATCGTGTACTTTTCATGTAAACATACCCACAGATAATATCAGGCTATTTATATATTCAAATTCGATAGTCGCACTCGCTTGTAGGTTTTCGTTCATATATGAGTTAAATAAGAATTGGGTAGTATTTAATAAGGTGCCTACAGATTTGCTCGACATTGTGGATCGACAGTAACGATTGAGAATTATAGACGTTTTCGAGGGGTTTTAGAGTACTTATTACGAATGTAGCATTAATTTCTAAATCCAAGATGGTTGACAACAAATTTCAAAAATGTATTTTTGGTAAACCATAAGGAAATAGCATGTATATCTGAATACAAGATGGGGGACAAGACTTCTAATTCTTCTTCTTCTAATTCTTTGCCATCTTGGATTTAGAAATATGTGCTATATTCGGAATGAGCAGCCCCTAATACCTGGAAAACGACACCCAACTTGCCATTATTCGAAAAATCGTGCCCGCCATCTTGGATTTAGAAATTAGTGCCATGTTCTTAATGAGCACCCCCAAATACCTCGAAAACGACACCCGACTTGCTATTATTTGAATAGTCATGTCCGCCATCTTGGATTTAGAAATAAGTGCTATATTCCTAATGAGCACCCCCAAATACCTCGAAAACGATCCCCAACTTGCCATTATATGAAAAATCGTGCCCGCCATCTTGGATTTAGAAATGAGTGCCATATTCGTAATGAACACCCCCAAATACCTCGAAAATGATACCCATATTGCATTTATTTCAAAAGTCGTGTCCGCCATCTTGGATTTAGAAATAAATGCCATATTCGTGATGAGCACCTCGAATACCTCGAAAACGATTCCCATATTGCATTTATTTGAAAAGACGTGTCCGCCATCTTGGATTTAGAAATGAGAAAAGTCGTGTCGCCTTTGTATATTCAGATGTAAATGCCATTTCCATAAGGAATATCAAAAATAAATTTTCTGTCCTGTCACTTGACGTTGTCGACAATATCGAGCATATCTGTAGGCACCTGATCGACAAAATCGAGCAAATCTGTAGGCACATCTAACTTAACGATGAGTTAGGCAAGATACAATTTCCCCACTTTTGAGGGAAATGTTATTCCATGGCATCATTATTTGTATATTTGTGTGCGTGCCGACGAGCGTAAATACAAGTTGCTTACGCCTACATGAATTTGGTTTTTGCCTCACTTGTGACAGGTCGTTTTTTATGAAACTATCATTCTATGCGTTATTGTTCTAAGAATTTTATGATGTCAGTAAATTGTAAATTCATTCGGCTTGTTTGATATATGAATATATTTTTAACCGTATTCAAAGATAATGTTTAAAACATTAAAATTCTGTGAAAGTGTTTGTATTAAAGTATTTAAATTTATTTATTAATCTTAACAACATATAAATTTGAAGGATACATTTTATGAAATGTTACCAACTTTTGTTGTCCCGGTTTCTTCGTTACGTACAATGAATTGATCTCTTAATGAAATTGAGTTGACAAGCATTAAAAGTAATTTTGATCGATTTTATTCATTTACACGGACAAGCTACGCTTGACCAAAAAGCTGACTGTGCCAAAATTGTTCTGAGGCTACCCTCATACTGTCCCGTTTAAAAAAAGACACTCCGTGCATTTTAAATTGAAACCGCATTAGTGCGGCGCCCACTGCCCGCTTGTTGAGTGCGACGACGACGCAGGTGGCGCAGTACAAGCTGCTGTTCGCGATGGACAAGTGCGAGCTGACGTTCAGCGACGAGGCGCTGCGCGCGGTGGCGGCGCTGGCCATGGAGCGCAAGACGGGCGCGCGCGGGCTGCGGGCCATCATGGTGGGTGCGGCGGGAGGGCGAGGGGCGGGGCGGGCGGGGGGGCCGCGGCTGACGCGCGCTGTTGCAGGAGAACCTGCTGCTGGAGGTGATGTTCGAGGTGCCGGGCTCCGAGGTGGCGGGCGTGCACATCCACGAGGGCTGCGTGCTGCGCGCCGAGGCGCCCACCACGGCGCGGCGCCGCGACGCCGACGCGCCGCAGCCCGACGCCGTGGACGACTGGCCCTCGGTGCGCCTCACCAACTGTACGTAGTTAGCCGCCCAGCCCGAACCCCAAGAGCGGGACTTCCTTTCTCCTTCGCTTCTCGCGCCCCGCGGCCGCTGTGCGGGCAGGGGCGACGGCTTCCGCTGACCCAATGCTCAATTTATTTTTTCCTATTTCAAGTTTTTGTAATATTATCCGTTGGGTCCCTCGCATGCATGAAATCCGCAAAGCTCTTAATTGAATACTTAACTTTATCACACGAGACAGTCGCCTACAATGAACGCACGGGTGGCTTGTCCAGAGGTCACACGTGTAAACCCACGCGGCTCTGAAACCAACTTAATAAACTCGAGCCATTAAAAACCTTGAGCCTTCCGCTTCCGCTTCAAAATTTTACCGCCCACCTTACAGAAAATACTTTTCCTCACATCAACACGATGTTCTACTGTTTCTGTTCCACCTAAAATTAGGAGGACTTTTTTTACAAATTCAACAATTTGTGATTTTGACAGTTGGCCACGATGCTACTCACTTTGATAAGTTTAACTATGTAGTCAGATTTTTTTTATAAAAACGAAACGAATTTTATTATAAAACATTTACTTAAGTAATTTATGTGTCTATTGTAAGAAAATATTATATATGTATATGGGTATATCTGATGTGAATCATTCCGTTTATGGAAGTCAAAATTTTGGCATTTACCTACTTAAATGGGTCCCACTCTCGTGGACTCCCACTAACATCTCATACCCCTGCCACTTTTCTAGTATTTAGTATCTTAGTTGGCAGAGCGTTAACCACGTTGAGGCAACAGACACTGGTTCATATCCAATCAGGTGGAAGGAATTTAGTTCGAGTTTGTTCGACCTTTGTGTCAATAATAATAACTAGTAACGGTATGCTAAAAAACGTCGGTTCAAATCCGGTCGTTCAATCTTTGTATTAATAATTATAACAAACTAGTGGAGTAATTTCACAAAAAAGGATTGAATATCAATTCAATACAAATTTAAAATAACTAGTAAATTTATCAATTTTCCAACGAACTGTACATAATATTTTACTGAAATACATGTTAATAAAAATGAATGTAACTTCGACAGGTAATTTTTAAATTCCATTATTTGTATTTTTTTTTAAACTCACTTCATCGATCATTAAACTTAGTTCATTATCTTGGCTGATTTCTCATCGTTTGTCTGTCTAATTATTTTTATTTTTATAATTTCCAGAATGCAACTCCCGCGCCTTCTGTCACTCAGTGTGTGCTGTGAGCGGGTCCAGTATGGTGGTTACAAACATACGAACGAATTGCAATTTGTTAGCAAATATTTCGATCAAACTTCAGTAGAGACAATAGTGTTGGCGATTCTCATTTTTTTATTAGACGGCCCACTATTTTTGTTTAGTTTTCGTTTATGTGAGAAAAAGTAGGAAATTTTTTGTAGAAAGATTAAATGGATAACGTAAACGTATTTTACGTTCAATTGCCGGAATAAAGACCTCTCATGTGAAAACAATGTAGGGGTCTTTCAAAATGTTTCAATCGACATTATTTAGTGTAGTTTCCAGCTAGCATTTCATAAAAATGTGCAAATTTGGTAAATTATAAGGTAAGTTCACTATGAGAATTCCACAGGGCTTACGTAAAATTTTAGGAATTCTCTCTGGTAACTTCTGCAACTAACAAAGTAGCTGAAACAAATGTAATTATTATATTTTTCCAAGAAGAGTGGAATTTAAAGCTATATATTTTTTTATTACATAGCTTCAAATATAAATTTAAAGTTATCTACGAGACAACTTATTCCCTGACTGTACAATGATCTTACAAGTAGTTCCTTATAATTTTACGTTTTATATTGTGAGGAAGAAAAAAAAATTAAAAAAATTAAAAAAAACAAACGTGTATAGCCACCATGCAGCATTGCTCTTGTGATGTAAATTACTGTAAATAATAAATAAATAAATAGAACTAGATGTTTATTGTGTAAGGTTTAATAAGCCCAATTAAGTTGTAAGTACGAAAACACGAGAAATTCAAATAGTAAATTTACTTAAGTAACTGTCTTGGCCGGATACACTGAGCGAAATTGATTTTGACATATTGTTATGATACGTATTTTTTTAATTTATGTCCGAGTTGTGCTGTGATTGTACAAGGTGTAACCGCTCATGTGTGCACACGTTGCGGGTTCGTCTCGCTCGAGAACCTAATCTTAGCAACCCTTAGAACTTAAACTACACAGTTTGAGCCAATCAAGGACAATTGCTTGTGTATATTGTTTTCAAAATGTTGTTAATATTCTCGAGTCGATTACAACTCGATGTATGTACTATAAAAGATGTTACATCTTGTAAATATTTATATAAAGTGTATAGCGGTTATTTTCTTTTTTGTATGTACACGGAAATTTGTAACACTTATTCGGATCGTGAATGATAAATTTTCATAAATTATAATCACATCGCAACTCCCGTTAAATAGTCTAAGCCTATTTTGAATTTAAATATAAAGAAAACCAAATTCGCTTATTTTATTTCAAATCCATATCCTATACATATATTTTTTTATGTGACCAAGTGACGGGATGAACAAGCAGTGTTGAGCGTTAATCAATTAAATTTCAATCAATAATTCAATCAGATTAAAAAAAAATCAATTCAATTGAAATCACAATTGCGACGCGTCGCAATTGATTTAATTGCGATTGATTTTAATTGCAATTGAATTTAATTGCATTCGATTTCAATGGAATTGATTTTAATTGCAATTAAATTTGCAATTAAAAGACGATTGTGCGCTTCAGCAGCTGCATAGACGCTTACCCCTAAGATCGCTTGTAATGCAGTTTCCCGCGACCTTAACTAGGTCGTGCATTGCAGGTATATTATGAATGAAAATTAATACCATAATATTATATTGACTTGTTTACTACCGACTATTATTATTATGACACATTTACTAGATTCTATCGATCGTTCCTGTCGCCTATAAGCGATCGACAAATCGTTCAAAATGAAACAACTTGGTTTTTTTTTTTTTTTTTAATAAATAACGCACACACTACATAGCCCCGCACTAGGGAAACCCTGTGTCGCGGGTGCCATGGACACACATATAGACAAACACAAATTACACCCAAACGCACGAGAGAAATAATTGTAGGCCATACAAATATTTCTCCCGGCCCGGGAATCGAACCTGGGACCTCTGCGTGGCAGTCCGGCATGGTAACCGTTCGGCCACGGAGGCAGTTAAACTTGGTAGACATCACTTATTGATTTATCGGTGGTCGACAAAAGACACAAACTATCCGTAGTGGCGATCGGCATAAAATCCGATGTCAATCGTCTTTGTTGCTTACACATTTACTCGATTTTGTCCGGTCATAAGTGTCGATCGACAAAAATGCAATGTCGATCGTCTCTTGCTTCCACGTTTACTCACTTGATCACACGTCGATCATTAAAAAATCGAGCATATTATTATCTGTTGGCACTTTAACATAAATACATTTAACTGCTCGTGAAATAAAATATTATTATTACCGCAAATTCGGAACGGCGGCGGCGCGTACAACAAGCGTTCAAGATTTACGCGTACATTGCGCACAAACGTGTGTCTTGTGTTGAATACATCCAAAATAAGACGCAATGTACTCGCAAACTTTGAACGCTCTGCCATTCCGGATTTGCGGCCCGTACACACTACACACTCAACAATGATCCCAAATTAGTTAATGAATCCGATTTATCGGGTTTCACTCACTTTTCGTTAACGGATGTCAATAAAACTTGGAAAATAGGTGTTACGAGTACAGCGAACACGGATAAACAACTTTTGGGGTCGGTTTTTTTATAATAAAGTTATGATTATGAAGTTTTAAGCATCTTCTTAGGGGAAGATATTTTTCGTTCTGTGGGATATCTATTCCATTGTATTCCTTAGTATTCGATTTTTTTTTATAATAACTAAGTGACGAGATGAACAAGTCGTGCGCCTGATGGCAAGCGACACGCCTGTCCATGACAGTTGCAATACCTCTCAGAGCTTTAAATCACAAAGATCAGATCAGAAGACAGTTGTTGACAAGTCCATGTGCCTGGCGTTCCTCGTCGCAATTTTGAACGACTCAATAAAAAACTTTAATCTACTTTCATAGAAATTACTATAATGTTCTAAGGCGCGTTAACGACACGACATCTGGTACGAGTGCATGAAACTATTAGAGTTTTGTCAAAGAGTAGGTAACACACGTAGTGTATTAACACTGACCGTGGACAGACTATACCTGTGGGAAATCACCTAATAGGCATGCAGATAATAATATTAACTGTTTACCAAGAATACGTATTCATCTATAGTTGGGGTATTAACGGAAAACCCTTGTCAAAGTCTTTATTAGTTGCGCAATATATTACATTTTCCTTAGGCCCAGGAGCCTTCCACCCGGTCCTCAACTTTACTAGCGTAGAAAAAGTTTTTTTTATACCGCCGCTATGCAGGTAATGCAGTGCACGAACACGTGTCAGCTATGTCCACCTGTGACTGTCATACGGGTCAACCCACATAGGCTACACTCACACTGGCGGCACAGAGTCGAAGCGTCGCGTCGCGTCCTGTTTTCAACTACAACGCATGGCGGCGCGCGTCGTCGTTGTTCGCATTAACGCGCCCGGATCACAGTGCTAGACCAGTTCAGAGACTTTTGAACATTCGTGAATGGCGCTCATGCTCGACAGTACATAATGGTTGGTATCGATCTTAATAAAATTGCTCTTATATCTGAAGCTGAAGAGGAAGAATCTTATTAAACTTATTTTTATATAAAATAAACTGAAATTATATCAGAAGCTGAAGGGAGAAAAGAAAATGGAAATTTTGGGTTCCCGAGTTATGGAAGAAAAGACGTATACTTGACGAATACAAAACACTTTGTAGTAACGATTTAAGCCGAGACACAAGATATTTTTATAATTATTATGTTATATAAACATTAATATTTTTGGATTAAGTAAATTGATTTTTTGTCTTCATCCATTGTCGCGCTCTAATCTCGTCGCAGTTTGGTACTGTGCTACGTTTGGTGTGGTCGGCGTCAGACACGTCACAGCGCGCGATTAACGCACGGCGGCCGATTTTAGCGAAACCGACTTATAACAAAACTGATTTGCTAATTTATAACAAAAATGCTTTCAGGGGATTTTGGTTGCTTATTACAAAGAAAAGATTAAGTTTAAAAATACATTTGGATGTACAAAAATTCGAGCAAACATTATTTCGGGCAAATGTATTTTCGGACTTCTGATAGATAACTCTAAACAGTAAAACAAATACAGCAATATATTGTTAGTTATTTATTAGTAACATTTAATAAAAAGTCATTTTTAAAATAAAATTAACATCATATCAACTCTATAGTTTCTTTGTTCTAAATGTTTTTTTTT